GTGATCAAAGTTCTCCTTTTCCGGGTTTCTCCCCGAAAATGGAATTAGAACATGGCGATAAATTTATTAAAGCCCACAGAGCTCGTGCTGAGGGGCTGAAGCTGCGCTCGACTGGCAGGAGGAAAGAGGAGGAGGGAGCTGTGGTATCTGGATGTGATTTTTGCTGAAATGCCATCCCAAATTACAGGATCAAATATTACAACAATATTTTTGCTGACAGTTTAATGAGTACAGTTTCGTGTTGCAAGGATAGTGTTCGGATGAACTTACCTATTTTTTTGGGGGTCATTTTGAAATCTTTTGTAAATTATACTCGGGGAAAATAGTGGATTTATTACAGCCCTCATCTGGCTAAATTAGCCACAGAAAATTGCTGGTTGTGTTTAGCAGTTTTGCAATAAACGCATACGTTTCCCAAAGTGGAGGATTTAGTAAGCAATTTGGATCCGTTAAAAGCAGGTCGATTCCTTAAACTTGATATAAGATAACATGGAGGCAACTGCAAGAATAAACTAATTTGTTGACTGCAAGCCCCTGATTGCTGGAGGAGGAACATGACCTAAAACGTTCCCTTGAATTCTTCCTCTCTCCTTGTTTGTGCTCCGTGGCAGTGGGCTGAGTCGGGAAGCCTCCTCTGCAGATATTTTCAGTACAAATCATTTGATTTGCCTTTCAGGGATCTATGAATTAATAGCATTGCTATACTTCGTGAAAACCAAATGCCATCTGGTTTAAATCCTTAAACCAGCCCAGCCAATTTTTTTTTTTTTTTTTCCCCCTCTGTAAAACTGAATCAGCAGACTGCATGAAGGAAAGCATAAAAATAAGAGGATGTATCTTTTAAGATTCTTTTATCTACTTATGCAAAAAAAAAAAAAAAAGCTTTACAGAATTCTGGGTTGGGAAAGGGTCGTTTTTGAAATTTTCCATCGCTGCAACAGTTAACCTTTAATAAAAACGACCGCTAAATATTTAAGAAAATCAAGTAGACGGTGAAAATTATTTAATCATAAATATCTCTGTGGGATTTTAAACTTAACAGTCCTCCCGGTATGGAATATGTGTAGAAATAACACAAATAAAAGTATTATGCCACAGTACATTTACTTTATGGGTTTAGGGTGCATGCATAAAGGGATCATATTTCCCCATATAGTTAAAACACAAGAACTGCAGCAGTAGTCATTTCTGAACATTTCTCAATTTAATTATACTTAAATCCAGAAGCACTTTAGGCAAGTTACAAATGAGAGCATTGAGTATAATAAAACCTGTAATAAAGCAACTTAGTACCATCCACCCGGAATCATTGAGATCAGGCACAATTAACAGGAGCATAAATCCAAGACAGAATGGAAAATGTTAGAATCAGTATTATTGTTGGACAAAGACTAGAGAAGGGAAGTAATAGTTTTTTAAATGGTAATGCCTGGGTTTTGTAACGATTGCGAAATCTTCTATCTCAGCAGCACTGGTGTTAATTTGTAAACACAGCCAGACATTATATTGCCTGTCAGTTTTTGGAATTAGAAAACACGGTTTCATTTGACTTTCTAATCACGTCGTGGCTCCACCGCGCGAACCCCAGCTGTAGCCGCCACGGGCGGGACCTGCGAGGGGACAATAGTAGGGGAGCCCGGGGCGCGTGGG